ATCCGTCTGCCTCGTTCCCTCCGGATGTTTGCAGTCGAACAACCTTTGTCAATTTTACTGTCACGCAGAGCAGCTTGCAGACGCAGTCTCTAAATGAGGTCCTGAAGTTTGAGCGCCCCGACGTCGATGCCCGGCGTACCGATCTGGTCAAATTGCAGGGAGAATTCAAGATCCATCTTCGTCAACTCGAAAAGCGACTTCTTCAAGCGCTGAACGAGTCTCGCGGCAATATCTTGGACGATGACAATGTCATCGAAACGCTCGAGACATTGAAGAAGGAGGCGGCTGAGATTTCGAAGAAGATGCTGGAGACCGAAGGCGTCATGACGGAAGTCGAGAACATCACCCTCAACTACAGCATCATTGCTCGCTCTTGCAGTGCTGTTTTTGCCGTCCTGGAGCAGCTTCACCATATCAACCATTTCTACCAGTTTTCTCTGCAGTTCTTTGTTGATATTTTCAACTCCGTCTTGTACCAGAACAAGCGTCTTGCTCAGGAGAAGGACCATGCTGCGCGAGTTCAGATCATCCTTCGGGACCTGTTCGTTACGACCTATCAGCGTACCTCGCTTGGGTTGATCCAGAAAGACCGGATCACACTCGCTATGCTCCTTGCTCAGGCTGCGCCCTACCCGATGGACAAGAGTCTGATCGATATGATCCTTGATGAGTCAATGGAGGGCGTGGATCTGTCTACAGCGTCTGAGCGCAAGGATGAAGTGCTCAACAAGATCTCCAACATGTCAATCTTCAAGTCAACCTTCCCCGGCATTTCTCCTGAGCAGTGGGACCAGTTCCTCGGCGAGGAGCTGGCGGAGAACTTCATCCCTGCTGTGTGGGATGACAACATGGAGAACCTGGACAAGCTGCTTCGGTCACTGTTGCTGGTGAAGCTATGCCGCATGGACAGATTTGTTCCCACTGCGGAGCGCTTCATTGAGGCAGTCTTTGGTCGGGAACTATTCGAGGGAAGCACGGATCTGAAGGACATTGTTGAGCAGGTCAACGCCACCACGCCAATTTCCCTGAGCTCGAGCCCTGGCTTCGACGCGAGCTACAAGGTCGACGCCCTTGTCGAGCGGATGGACGCTACCTGCGCGAACATTGCCATGGGATCGAACGAAGGTCTGCAGAGTGCCGACAAAGCGATCAGCAACGCCGCGGCGGCCGGCACCTGGGTCCAAGTCAAGAACGTCCACCTGGCGCCGTCCTGGCTGCAGAGCCTGGAGAAACGCCTGGAGTCGCTCAAGCCGCACAGGGATTTCCGACTCTTCCTGTCGATGGAATCCAGTCCCAAGATCCCGGTCAATCTGCTGCGTGCCTCGCGCGTTCTCATGTACGAGCAGCCCGCCGGTGTCCGGGCCAACATGAAGGATTCTCTGTCCTCGTTGTCTACCCGCGCCTCCAAGGCGCCCGTCGAGAAGGCCCGTGTCTACCTGCTCCTGTGCTTCTTGCATGCCGTCGTGCAAGAACGACTCCGCTATGCTCCGAACTTGGGATGGAAGGGATTCTGGGAGTTTAACGACAGCGATGTAAGTTTTGTTGCCGTGTATTTCTTTTCGCTCACACACTAACCCCGTACAGTACGAATGCTCCGCGCACATCATCGACTACTGGGTCGACACCGTGGCCCAGGGCCGCTCTAACGTCGCCCCGCAGAAGCTCCCCTGGGAGATGATCCGCACCCTGGTGACGGAGACGTACGGCGGCAAGGTCGACGACCAAGGGGACTTCGCGCAGCTGGAGTCGCTGGTGACCAACCTCCTCACGCCGGCCGCCTTCGAGGACGAGCACAAGATCGTTTCGGGAGTTGGCGACAGCCCCAGCGACAGTTTGACGTTGCCCGGCGGCACCAGCATCCGCGACTTCGTCGACTGGGTCAACAAGCTCCCCGAGCGCGAGCCGCCGACCTACCTGGGTCTGCCGGCGAACGCGGAGAAGCTGCTGCTGGTGGGCCACGGCCGCAAGATGATCTCCGATCTGGCTAAGGTGACGACTTTGTTGGATGAGGGGGAGCAGTTGATGATTGAGTCTGCTTAGTTGGTCTGTGTTTGGTGGGACTCATCCTACAGTTTGTGACGAATGGGGAGCGGGAGATTCGATTGTGTATGTTTGACTTACTCTGCTCTGTGAGGGAGTAGTCTGGTCTCTTCTTTTCTTGTCTTCTTACTTTACTTGTTTAGTGGACTGGGTACTTTAAAGGGGGGGGGTCAATAGATCGGTATCGAGGTGGTTGATTGTATTCTAGACGTGTACGGAATATTATATTGTATGTTTAGGAAATGGGCGGTCTAGATGAACGTGGACGGAATACTACTTTGTACCGTTCAGAGAATATGAGGTCAAGACTATGACTCGTTGCGTAGGTTGCAGCTCCACCCAGGAACAAGCCATCAATGTTTACCACGGAGGAAAACGAAACTTAGTACTATGGGAGTCAGTATCACCACTGAATTGCAAGACACTGCATCGACAAATAAGAACACATGATCATTCCCAGAGAAACAGCCATCAGATCAACCCAACCCACTTAGTCCCCAGGCCAGAACCTAACCCCCCCGTCAGCTCCTAAGCTCCCAACCCATTCAAAGTAACCAGATACAAGCCAACATCATCACCGTCATCGTCAACTTCTTCCACGACCAGACAAAGTCAGACCAAACAAAGTCACTCCCACCAGAAGGCTGAAAGTCCAACACACAACACCACACCAACCAAGCACCGCACTGTACCGCACCAGACAAGACAAATCAAACCAACCCCACCTGCCTGCCCCTTTACCACAAACATCAACTAAACCCTCCACCCCCGCTCTGCTGAGTTGTCAAGACAGGATGAACCCCAGACCAGTGTAGCCCACAAAACCGCTGACCAAGCCATCTTCACGAACCCAACCCTAGGCTAGATCCAAAACATCAATATACCAGCGAGAAAGGTCACGTCAGGCAAGTCAAGTCACGTCACGTCAAGGTACGTGAGGCTTGTGTTACGTGTTCCTGACTTCTGGCTGTCGAAGGGGGGATCGGATGGCTTCTGAGGGTATAGGTATGGGTAAGGGTATGGGTATGTATGGGTCCACGGACCGGGGGGGAACAGAGAAGGGGTAAATCGTAAGTCGTAAGTCGTGAGTCGGGTTGATTTGGTTGTCGGTTTGGTCGTTGAGGTACATGTACATGTACTGTCTGTAGGTGCAATGGAAAAAAGAAAGAGGTCGTGACGAAAAAAGTGGGCGAGAGATGTGGATTTGTTTCGGGTTTGGACGGGTGGGGTTTTGGAGGTGCTACTGGAAGCCGTAGATGGGATTACCCATCTTTTGTTTTCGTGGGGTTAGTTTGGTTTCTGGTGTTATCTCTGAGACTGGGATGGATGGACATGGAGCTGGGGGAGGTATGGGATTGGGAGGGTGAGGGTGAGGGTGTGCTTGTGCTTGCTTACCTGGTTCAAAACAAACGTCACCTGTTTGTTGTGTTATTTCCGTTAGCAGTGTGGGTTAACTTATAGCTCGTTTCACTTCTTTAGGTTGGGGTTGCCAGTTGTGCTGCTGGATGCTGCATTGTTTCGTAGAAGGGGAGAGTCGGGGGGAAGAGGGGAAAGGGACGTACGTCTCTAGTCGTCACCACCTATAATTATCCAGTGTTTTGGTTAGTGGATGTGTACTATCGTTTAGAGCAAGGCATGCTTTGATCATATCTTCTGATACAAGGGAAAGACAGATGAAAAGAAACTAAGACCGAGGGATGGGCATAGATGACACAGAGGACAGTGCAGTGCAGTACAAGTGAGTGCGTAAGTGAGTGAGTGAAGTCAGGATCCTCTCCTCTTCTCTCTCCTCCCAGGGGTAAAGTGAAACTATAAATGAGATGACATGAAAAGAGGAAAGCTGACCTTACGCTCATGGCCTGGAGTGGTTCCGCTGTCCATAACGTGCACAATGCGGCAGATGATCTTATAGTGAACAGTTAGATGAAAGAGATGAGAGGTATGGGTTTGTGGCACCGGTGATTCGCTGTTTGCCGAAGAGATTGGGGAATAGGGACTAAGGTTTTGAAGTTTGAAGCTTGCAGAAGTGTGATATGGGCTGGGCTTACTTCAGTAAGACGATCTTTGAGGGCCCTGCGCGCTTCCTCATAAATCTCGTTGCCGATGCGATAGACGCCACCGCGGCGGGCGAGACGGCTAGGATGGGAGTGGTTAGTTTGGTTTGCTTCAGGATGAGTGATTGCTTCAGAGCTGGTTTTTTGAAATGCTGCTGAGCAATCTGATCCTCGTATTGCGGTTGCAAGGCAAGAGGATGGAGGACGCATACCGGATCGCGGGGCGAGCTGATTCCTGTCAGTCTGGAGGTATCATCATATAGCTTGCAGCAAAAGATGCAACTTACTGACACCCTGGATGTTGTCTCGAGCCAATTTGCTGGGACGTTGAGAGTGAGGTTAGTGGCAGTGTAGCTGGGGGATTGACACTGGCTGTACTGTAGGCAAAGACAGCAGCTCGAGTTAAGGCAAAAGCAAGCAAGGCGAAGGCATAAAGCGTACCGGAATCGGCGTCTGGGCATGAAGGCCCGATGCTTGCCACTCTCCTTGAGGAGATTGAGGTCCATCTTGAATAGGCTGGGCGACGGGATGATGACTAGCTGGGGGCAATGCGAGGGTGATGTGAGGGTAATGCTTTCGTCGGTCCTGGGTGAGGGGATGTGATGGTTGGCATGAGTTGAAGCTTGGAGGTCTACAGCCAAAGGGAAATCTGGTGATGTGTTGTGCTGCGATGATTATGTCGGCGAGGGGAAGTCTCGGCGTTGCCCCCCCCCAAACCCCCCATACTGAAACGCAAGGGAATACGCTGGAAAACGGTAACACATGACATAACATTAGATATCGTGGTAAGTTTATAGGCTATTAGAATCAATATCACGTTGCGGTGCGTATGGATGCATGAAAGGGGAGCGTGAAAATTCAACACCACTCAAAACGCCGGGACAATGTCCGCATCATGTCCTCCCTCTATGAGATGAAAGTCGCCTCGGAGAACAAAGTACCCTCTTCGGTGATTTCTTCATCGCCGATCTTAAGCTTCAAAGATAGCTTCTCCTGGGGAGAGTACTGTCCGTCAATTAGTTTGATGTTGACTTCACATAGTTCGGAGGATACATACCTGGAAGATGTACGGCCGAGTACCGGCAACACTGCCAGCAATGGTCTTGATGAAGCCCGGGACCTCGGCCATCACGTCAATCCGGTCCAGGCGGCTGCCCAGAGCTCCATCGACCTCGGCGTGAACCTCCTTGCCATCGTTGGACTTGCCCTCCCAGACCCACTTGATGGATCTCGGCTCGGGCCAGTCACTCTCGGCATCCTGGTTCGATCCCGTGTGGGTGGCAGTGTTGGTGCTACCAGCATAGACGATCTCTCCGTCCTTGACAATACCACCGACGTTGACCACGGTGGATCCGTACGAGGGAGGGGTAGTGTATTCCATCATGATGGCCGAGTAAGTAGGGGTCTGGAAGTTGAGGAAGTTCCATCTCGCAGCTGTTTCCTGTCAGCAGGGTCCATGGACAACCCCAGATCCGACTTACCCGCGTGGTGGGGCTTCATGCCCTGGAGCGCGTGGATGAACAGGCCGCGACCCTTGAGGTCGAAGTTCTGTTCCTTGGTGGTGATGGTTCCCTCCACGGCGCAACGAGGCCAGAAGGCATGGCTCATAGAGCCCCAGGGGTTCTGCGGATCCGTGCCGAAGTATGAAGTACCGTCTTTGCCGACAACAAAGCCCGGAGCGGTGCGCTTGAAGGTCAAGTTCACCAGACTGTCCTCATTCACCGCCGACTTGATAGTGTAGGTATCTCCTTCCTCATTCAGCGTCACGGCGAGGTTGTCGGCGCCAAAGGAAAGCATGCTCTCGTCGAACATGAAGTTGGAGAGAGGGTCGGAGTGCCAGTTGTGGGGAGCGTCACCCTTGAGGTTGAAGATCTTGGAAGTGAACTGGGCGGTAGTATGAATTCCACTGGTCCGAGCACATCCCAAGGTCAGTGATGCAGCTACCGAAAGAGATCCGTCCAAACTCACACAATGTTGCTGTAGATGACCTGGCACAGTGCTAGGGTACCATTGTCGCCCATGACATAGAAGACATGAGTCTCGACGTTGGTATATTGGTGAGCACGCCAACGGAGATCATCCTTGGTGAGTTCGGTGTAAGGGGTTTCTTGCGCCTGCTGGGCAACCGATCTGATAGCCTCCGGACCATAGATCGGTTCCTGAGTGCCAGCAACGCTCGCGAGACTAGACAGTGCAAGTGATTAGTAAATGTGGCGATGCTATGGCTATCAGCCGCTAGAGTCACCAGCCACCAACTTACGTAGACTTAAGCCAGTTCATGGTGGGCTGTGTTTGTATGAGTGAAAGAGGGCAGGAATATAGGTAAGAGAGGATGAAGCAGCACAAGCGGTGGGGGGGAGAAAAGTAGCAGGAGGATTGGAAGGTGGGCGGGAACTGGAAATCGATAGCGGGCGGGGCCCAAAAGGGTCGATCACCGTCTGGGTCCCGAGAGGTACTTTCGAGAGTTGGGTGAAGGACGCAGTGGTCAGGATTGTCTGATATCTCTCGTACAAGTGATAATTAGCTGGTGCCAGCTACTATGGAGTATGCCAACACTGCGAACCAGGCGAAGAACCAGAAATGAGGATTAAGCGGTTCATAGATCGTCGAAGGTACGAAGAATGACGTCCGCATTGCAAGTCGGGTTGGTTTCGCTTGTCGCCCAAACGGCAAGAAACTCCGGCCTCCGCCGCGCCCTTTCCCCTTTGGGAACCCCAAGAAAAGTTGCAGTTCTCAATGCCGCATTCATCGGGTCCGCCGCGAAAGTGTTAGATTGTTGACTACCTGAGCAGCCTGTCAATTGCCCCCTCTTCTCGATCTCGAATATCTGTCATCCCACCTCCGATAATCACTCATCATGGCGAAGAAGGCATTGCCCAAGGATCAGATCGTGAAGCTGATCGTGGGAGCTGGCCAGGCCAGCCCCAGTCCCCCCGTCGGTCCGGCCCTGGGTAGTAAGGGTGTGAAGAGTATGGATTTCTGTAAGGTGAGTTATATGTCCACATTGGATCGATCACAATAAGTTATTTTTTTTTCCATTGGTATTCCGGCTGTATTTCCTGGGGAAGCGAAATACCGGTGCCCGAAAGAAAGAGAACACATGGCTCACGACAACCACCACTATACAGGAGTTCAACGCCCGCACTGCGCACATCAACACCGGTGTCCCTATCCCGGCCCTCGTCACCGTTCGTCCCGACCGTTCGTTCCTGTTTGACCTCCGGACCCCGACTACGACCTATCTGCTCCTGCAAGCCGCCAACGTCGAGCCGCGCAAGAACCGCATCCGCGGGGCCCAGAACCCCGGCCACGAGATTGTGGGCAAGGTCTCTCTCAAGCACATCTACGAAATCGCCAAGATCAAGCACACCGAGACGCGACTGTCCGGTCTGAGTCTGCAGGGCATGTGCAAGAGTGTCATCGCCCAGGCCAAGTCGATTGGAGTGGAGGTGGTGCCGTGAACGGCGGACAAGGGGGAAGTCGACTGTATTGTATATGGGATCCTTGCTACCGGGCGATCACTGCTGCTAGCTGTCTGGGACTGATGATCATGGCGTTCTTGGGGGACTGGGTCTGTTGTCATTTGTATTAATAGGCATTGCATGTGATATAGAAAGCGTTGGCTGGTGCCTGAAGCGTTCTACACAAACAACCTCGATCCTGCTTCGCAAACCGTAAGAGTCCATTGAGTGGGTGGCAGGGTCAGCGAGTTAGCTACTCTGGACTGGTAAGAGACCATCTATGCTCGCCAATGGTGCAGGCCTAGTAGGGCATCGGTCTTGGCTCAAGCAAAGCGACTCCTCCGTGTCACCCGCACGGCTGCTACTGTCACTATGCCAAGCTCTTTCCGCCGTCCATCGTGCGACCTGAGGGCGGAAGAGGAGACAGCAGGAGGCGAGAGTGCGAGTCGCAAGGAGCCAAGAGGCGGACAATGACTGCACCAGGTGTGATGAGGCATGAAACGGTCATCCACCATTTCTGCCGAGCCAGGCCAAGACAAGGAGGATACGCAAAGTGTAGCAATCCCGTCGACGATCATCGCGATCACCTAGGATACAGCGAGCGGACTTGGTCACTTTGAGGGTCGCAGAATGAGGCAGTGCAAGTCGTTCCAGGCTGGGCTAAACCACTTGGGCTTGGCAAGGGCGGGAATAGCCCTTGTATGTTGCTTTGCATGCAAGTTTGGTGATGATGCGATGCTTGGCAATCTACAAGGGGGATTGCGGAGATGCGTCAGAGTGAGTCGATCACATTCCTGCCTCTATTTCCGGCGGCGCTGCAGCTCCTTTGTTCTCCGCATTTTCTGGTTTGACATAATCCGGGCGGCGATCGCACTCGAATCGTCGCTGAGTAGTAGACTGGTCTCGTTACCGCTTGGTAGGGTTGGACTGCTGATTGGGATCAAGGAAGCGAATTTACCTGTTAATGATAGTGCCTCGATTCGGAAAGGCCAAGGATGGTCGGAGATTGACTTGTTAATGCTCTGAGGTCTATCCAGAGTATGCTGGTGTTGCAGCAACTCGAATCAGTCTTGTTGATATTTGATTAAGACAGCGCAATGGCAGAAATCCACTTCGGTCAGCCTTATCGCATTCTGCCAAAGTTTTGGTGGTTGATGCACCCTGGCCATCGACTGGAGGATAGATGGGGATATTATAGCCTAAAAGGATCCGCAACGACAGGGTTGGCTGGTGATTCTCCCTGTCGACGCGGACAAATCAATGCCGGCCTTGCCTCCAAGGCTGCCGTTGAGCAGCAGCAGCATCCCCGCTCCGAATTCGTCGAATTTTCCATCTTCCTTTTTTTACTGGCGTTTTGTGCTGTCATCATTGTTACAGAGATGTCAACACAGAAATGTCCAGACATTAATCTTTCTCAATCATATAGCGAGGAATCACGATGAATATCAGCACCAAGCATGAATCGTCTACACATACAATATGCCTATTCCCGGGGTGACCCATGATCCCAGCTAGGGCTGCCAGTTCAAGCTCTGACATGGGATCTTTTATGGACTCATAGATAGTAGTTAGATACATAGTACGATGGATACGGAGCAGTGGGGACGGGCTAATATGGTTCATTCCGGCGGGGTGGACCGGTCAAATAATAATGTGCATGGCAGGGAAGGGGCTGGTTTTAAGTCCACGCCAGTCAAGATCCAGAAGAATCTAGCGGGGTACGTACGCAGACTACTAAGTAGTACTCCGTACACTACCATCAACCGGCAACTCGGCACCAGTCATTATTAACAATCACGATAACAATGATGAATGGAACCATTAGCAGCTGACTGCCTACTCCGGCCAGATGACACTTTCCTTGCCCTTCCTCTCTGATAACAAGATGATGTCGACATCCCAGAGTTCATCCGGTGACCCCCAAGAATCGATCGATTTTATGGTTCTCTCCGCAGAATCCCGAACCCAGAGCCGGTCTTGGTCTTGGTCTTGGTCTGGTCTGGTCTGGTCTGGTCGGTCTCTCCATGGCCAATCTTCTCCGCACGGGGTCGCTGATCGTGTTCCAAGTTGCGATGAGGATGATGGAGATAGAGAGAATTAAGTACTTGAATACTTAGAGAAGTTGGTGAACCGTGCATGCAGGCGCAATTCATTCCCCCCTCTACTCTCCCGATAATAATAGATTCCCCCTTTGGGAACCCCAGGATTCTAGAACCGGAACCGGCTGGAGAGGAAGAAATTCCCGGGCAACTTTCCCATTGCAGCCAGAATAGCTTTTCCAACTCCATCCATCCTGAGGAATATCATCGGTCGTTAAGTTAGCTTGACAATATCGAGTCACCCTAGAGAGTAGAATCAAGTCATCTTCAAGTGAAGAACTAGAGATGAACCAGGTACAGTACTTACTTACTGTACATTAACTAAGTAGTAGAGTTGAAAGCAGACTCAGTCCGTGCCGCCGCCGCTATTGCCGCCGCCCGGCTGGATTTCCTTCGCCGAACGGCTGCTTCTCTTTCTGACTTTCTGACTTTCTCTTCCTCTTCTCTCTTTAGGCTCTCTAGTCTGGTCTCTGTTTCTAGTCTCGCTCTGTCTTCTCTCCTTCTCTCTCTATCTCTCTCTCTCTCTCTCTTTCGCTCTCCCTCTTCCACTCTCTCCATCTTCTAGCCCGGTGGAACCTCCTCCCCCCGTCTCATTCCTGTTGCTGCCTTTCCCCTTCTTCCCTCTTCCAACCAACCCTCCTCCCCTCTCCGTTTCCTACCTACTTCCAGACCCTCTCTCCACTTCCCACCTTCCCCTCCTCCTCTTTTTCCTCCTCTTTTTCCCCCAAACTCACTCCTCTCTAAACTTCTCCTCATTTTTCTACTTCCTCTTAATTTGTCACAGGGCCACTCTCGGATCATAATTCCTGTGGTTGTCGAGTGGGATAAATCTCCCTCATCCTTTCTATCTCCTGTCCAGCGTCCAAAGTTCTCCGGGTGAAAGTGGTGACCGTTTCTGGACAAAAGATTTGCTCCGTTGTCGTGCATGGGAAATCCTCCGTGCAACTCCCCCGTTCTGTCCTACTCGCCCGCCTTTCACAGCAGCCCGCTGATCGCAAGAGTGTTTCATTTCTGAATTTCCGATTCATTTAATTAGTTCTGGGGTGGTTACCAATCGCGGTGGTCAAGGGATTCCACAGGCATCAACCGTGGAGGGGCATGCGTCCCACAGCGTGGTCTTGAGCCGAGTATGACGTCTGAAGCGACCGATTTTGCCCAAGCGAGCAATCCCAGCGACCCTGGTAAGCTACTCTCCCACTCGCGGCCAAGCAACCTCCCCGCCTTCCAACCACCCTCCTAATGCCATTTCGCTCTCATTTTTAGCACCTCGCTCTCCCCAATCTTCCAGCCCGATGGTCCCTGGTCCAAACATGGCTTCGGGAGATGTCAACCCCAGCCTCAATCCTCAATCCGGGCAGGTCCGGTTCTCTACGGTAACGGAGGAAATCGAGCCTACCGATCCGTCGTCTTCCGTCAAGTCTCCTGGAGCAGAGTCGATCAAGGATACGCAGCATGAGGAGGAACTGCGGTCGCTAGCTGCCAGCTTGCAGCGGTCCCAATTGCAGGAGAATCGATTGCGGCAGTTCTCTTACGATCCCATCTCGTTGCCGTCATCTAGAGTATGTATTCTCGATCCCTGAGCGGTGATAGGTGCTTGGGGTCATGCAGCATACAGCAAAGAACATTCCATTTCCATGGATCGCTTTCTCCTCGCATCGAGCCTGCATAGCCATTCCAGATCTGGCCAGAAGCTGACAGGCATCCTTCCTTACAGGTTGCCTCCCGGGAATCGAGCGACCGCAGTGCACGCGAAGCAAATGGATCGGGCTTCCCCTCGCCCCGAGGTTCCCCACCAGTGTCCGCCATGCAATCACCCCCGCTGACGCCCGCAGCCACACATTCACGGGAATCCAAGTCGATTGATACTTCTTCCACATCCAACACCACCGATCGGGCCGGTAATGCCGCCCATTCCACCCATATGACTCCCGTAACCTCCCCTCCAGCCAGCGCTGCCACACAACATAAGGCTCCTCAAAGCGCCCCCTCCTCCCGTCCATCCTCGACCGATCAACTGTCGAAGCAGAACCAAGTGGCACAGACCTCTTCTCATCCGAACCACGGCGCGCGGCATCGGGCGCAGTTCTTTATCGGTCCCACTGATGGATCCCAGGAAGAAAGCCCACCAGCCACCCCTCGCGGTGATCCCGAGAGCTATACCCCTCCGGGTGCGATCACGCCGGTGGGTGAGCCGAATGACCCGTATGCTCGTAGCAAGCGTCCTCCGCAACCGAAGAACCTTGCCCAACTTGACCAGCGCTTCATCTTCGGCAGCCGGGACTCCAAGCGTCGCACCACGACATCGGCCTTCTCACGCCCATTGAGCCCTCGTTCTTCCAGTGCCACGGATCTCCGGTCCAGTGAAAAGCGCAGTGGCTTCTTCAATTCCAAGCGAGAACCACGACAGCCGGATGCCGAGGGGAAGACCCATGGCCATATGTCAGAGTTGAAGCGCTTCTTCAAGCGAACCCACAACAAACACAAGCGAGGTGACTCACCGTCGTCGATCCCATTCAAGAAATCGAGTCGAACCTCGGGCAAGGGCGGCCCATTCCACGCGGCAGCCGACAGTGTCCCGTTCGCAGACGATCATGGTCTTAACTCGAAGTATGGAAAGTTGGGCAAGGTGCTGGGGTCGGGAGCCGGAGGCTCGGTTCGGTTGCTTAAGAGGAATAGTGATGGGGTGACTTTTGCGGTAAAGCAATTCCGAGACCGTCATTCATGGGAAACTATGAAAGAATACTCCAAGAAGGTGACTGCGGAATTTTGCATTGGGTCTACCCTCCACCACGGCAATATCATCGAGACGCTGGACATTATTCAGGAAGGAAACCATTGGTACGAAGTCATGGAATATGCGCCCTTTGATCTGTTTGCCATCGTCATGACAGGAAAGATGGTCAAGGAGGAGATTGCTTGCTCTTTCAAGCAGATCCTCAGTGGAGTCGCCTACTTGCACGGAATGGGCCTGGCCCATCGTGATCTGAAGTTGGACAATGTGGTCGTCAATGAGCATGGCATCATGAAGCTTATTGATTTCGGAAGCGCTGTGGTGTTCCGATATCCTTTTGAGAATGATATCGTCCTCTCTTCTGGTAAGTTTGGTCATGATGTACTTTGAAGGTTCATGCTCACAGGGTTTGTTAGGAATCGTTGGCTCGGATCCATATCTCGCCCCCGAAGTATACGACGAGAAGAAATATGACCCTCGCCCGACTGATATCTGGTCCCTGGCCATCATCTTCTGCTGCATGACTTTGCGCCGATTCCCTTGGAAACAACCCCGTGTCAGCGATAACTCGTACCGACTGTTCGTTTCCACGCCCACTCCTGGAACTCCAGTGCCTGAGGTCGACCCGAAACGCCACCGGGCCGTCAAGTCATCTCCTGATCTTATCACCGCTGCCCAAGAAGGCAAACCCGCCCAGCCCAGTATCAATACTGACGTCGCTGGACAATCTTCCCAGGGGAACGGGCAGCAAGCTCAACAGCCTACTGCTGCCGGCGAAGAAAACCAGCCGCCGAAGAGTCCTCAGGACAAGCCGCTGGTCACCAAAGCACCTACGGATAGCAAGAATGCTAATGCTACTACTCACAAGCCTTCCCGTACCACGAGCAAGGAGGCCCCTCCACTTCCGGCGAACGCCCAGGCGGCGGCTCAGCGGCAGGAAGTCATCAAGGGGCCCTGGCGCCTTCTCCGGCTCCTGCCCCGCGAGAGCCGGTACATTGTTGGCCGGATGCTCAAGGTGTCGGTGAAGGAGCGCGCTACACTGGATGATGTCTTGACTGATGAGTGGGTGCGCAACATCAAGGCGTGTCGGCAGGAGTTGACCGGCGAGGTCATCCATGCTCCAGGCCACACCCATGTATTGGAACCCCCTTCGGCCAGTGTGCCAGTTCCCAGCAAGGCTAAATGATCTCTTCTTAGGTGATCTATCTCTATTCCCCACTGTATAATTCTTATTTTTCCTATTTTCTTTACCTCTCTCTCTTTTTGTCAGAGCAAAAGGGTGTTTACGTCCCACATGTCTTATAATCTTCCTCGCCCAGACTACACTACCTCTTTCCTGTCTTCTTCGATTCGTCTGTTTTACATTGATTCCCTTCGACTAGGATGGTGGTCTCGGTGACCTGACACCATCCGGTCGATTGTTTTTTGCGCTTCATGGCGGGGCTCTTGTGCAGTGAGATATAATTGCGTGATCGACGGTATTCTGTGCTCATGGCTCTCTCCGCGTTGGAAAGAGGGTCTGGGGGTTGTCTTTTGTTGTTGTTTCTTGTTTTCTTTTCGATCTAGGCGTTGCGGTCACTGTCCGTGGAACGGAGCTGCTTTAGGCAATCATTCTTCCCTATAGAGGGTCAGCTGCTAGAAATCTTCCTTGTGCCTTGTGCTGTGACAGAGCCTTTCTCTCAGATTGTTTTCATCCTGCAAGGTTTCGATTGTGTTGAAGAGCAGTTACAGGCATAGTAAATATTATCATGGATCAACGAGAGCATCACCATGCGGAGTTGGGGCTTGACGTAAGGCGGAGATTGCGGAGTTTAGCCCGATAATCGGAGGTTGTCGATCCGCCGACTTCTCTCGGCGGGCGACTTCCCGGCCAGAGCTTGCACACCACTACCACCACCACTCAACAATTTTCTCAACCTTGTGATTGGGAGGGACGAACATAGTTGCTTGCAGGGTCGCCACAATTTACTCTGGGTATATCAGCTTAAAATTTCTGGCCAGGCCGCCGACTTCCTTCCCAGACCCCAGCACCATGGCTACAGCGCAGGAACCCGAGCCATTGGTCTCGCTGTGGACGAGATCATTGATCGTATGCTTTCCCTGCCCGGGTACTGCTTCTTCAACTAATGCCATGTCTTGTGTTCCAGTCCGGAGCCATCGCCGGCCTCACGGTCGACTGCTCCCTATACCCCCTTGACACGATCAAAACTCGCCTCCAGAAAGCGCGCACCGCGACGCCGGCCAGTACCGCCGCCGCCGCCCCGGCGGTCTCCCTCCGCCAAACCATCCGCGGGATCTACGCCGGTCTGCCCTCGGTGCTCTTCGGGTCCGCCCCCTCGGCCGCCTCGTTCTTTATTGTGTACGACGGGGTGAAACGCCTGCTCCTCGAGCCGCCTACCGCTACGACTAACTCCTCCGCCGCCGCCGCCGCCGCCGCCGCCCCCTCCCCGTCCCGCACGCACATCCTCCTCACGCACTCCCTCGCCTCCTCGATGGGCGAGATCGCCGCGTGCGCCGTCCGCGTCCCCACGGAGGTGATCAAGCAGCGCGCGCAGGCAGGTCTCTTCGGGGGCTCCAGCGCCGCGGCGCTCAAGGACATCCTGGCGCTGCGGCACGCGCCGGGCGCGGGCTACGGGTCGGTGGTGCGGGAGCTGTACCGGGGCGCGGGGATCACGATTGCGCGCGAGATCCCGTTCACGGTGCTGCAGTTCACGATGTGGGAGAGCCTGAAGGACGGGTACGCGAAGCGGAAGGGGCTGGAGATGGTCCCCGCGAGCACGAGCGCGATGTTCGGCAGCGTGGCGGGCGCGATTGCGGCGGGGTTGACGACGCCGTTGGATGTGGTCAAGACGCGGGTTATGTTGGCGAGACGGTCGTCCGGGGAGGGGAAGGTGCGGGTGAGGGAGGTGGTGCAGGAGATTGCGCGGGAAGGCGGCGGGGCGGCGTTCTGGAGGGGCATTGGGCCCCGCGTCGCGTGGATTGGGATCGGCGGGGCGGTGTTTTTGGGGAGTTATCAGTGGGCGTGGAATGGGTTGGAGGGGGGCAGGAAGCAGCGGGTACTGAGGGAGGGGGATGCTTTGTAGGGTTTTTCCGTGGGTGGTTGGTTGGGTGGGTTGAGTGGGTGGAATTATCTTATATCATATAGATGGATGGATGGGTTTTAGACGGGTTAGATGTATATTTTATTTCCTGGAATACAGGTTGCATGCATGCTAGAAAGATGGTACCTCAGGATGATTCTCCCGCAACATCCACTGGAGTTCCTGCGTCTGCTCCTCCGGGAGCATCTCCTCCATCTTCGTCCGCGAGAGGAACTCGTGGTCCTCCATCTCGAACCCAGGCACGACGGTCTGGGGTGTTGTCAGCTCGACTCAACCTTATACCTTGACACTGCTAAATTACATCCAGAGGAAAAGAAAAACGAACCTCACTAATCAACATCCCCTCAAACCCCTCCCCATCATCACTGTCAATGTCCCGTGTTTCCCAAAAACACCCCTTCCACACCCCCCCCTCAACCACCCACTGCATCCGCTCCCCGTGCTGCGTATCCATACCCACCACGAAGGTTTCGACGGTAGCTTGGCCTTGGCCTTTGCTTCGCCTTCCCCCTCCCTTTGCCCCTGACCCATCCACCTCATCCTCATCCTCATCCTCATCCCCATCCCCATTAACCGGTGCATCCTCCCGCAACAGAACGTATCGCCCCCGTCCCCGATGCAGCGAATGCACCGTCCGCCCCTTATTGCGGTGGAAGACGCCCACCGCGGAGGAGGGAGTGAGGAGGTAGGTGATTGTTGTGCTAAGGGAGCGGGAGCTTCCCTGGGGGGAAGGCCACGGGGTGGGCAGGGTGAGAGGGTGGCGGTCGGTTTGGTGGAAATAGCCGCCTTCGGGGTGGGGGTGGAGGGGGTATGGGAGGGGGTTTTGGGGGGTTTGGGGGGGGAGGGTTTGGGTTTGGGGATGGGGATGGTTGTTGTTGTTGGTGGCGTTGTGGTTGTGGTTGTGGTTGTGGTTGTGATTGGGGGTGGGCATTGTATTGTTGTGGAGGTGGTGGTTTGTATTGTATGCTGTGGTTGTGGGGAGTGTGGTTGTAAGGTTGGAGATATGGTAGTAGTGGTTATCTTAAGGAGTGGAAGTTATTGATTTGGGACTGTCTATCTCGTACTTGTAGTAAATCTTATACTTGTACTAACTATACTAACCTTATAGTAAGGGGCGGATCAGAACGTGGCATCAGGATGATATCAGGGTTGTTGTGGGGCTGCAGGATGGGATGGGATGCATGGCTTGTGGGGGACTTGGTGTGAAGATGCGGGCATACGGCAGGTACTATGTGCAGTATAACTATCTCTTGGGGTTCCGTTGACTCAGTATGGAGAAAGCCGCAGTGATGTAGGTATATCGACTCTAGTGTTGTTTGGACCAATGAGTCGTTATTGGGACAGTTGACAGTGCACTGGCACCCGTGACTTTATATCGCAGGCTCCGGATGTGAGTAGGGCTTGTGATTGGCTATTGTCGAGGTCGCCTGGCATGGATAAGTTGTTGAACTCCTGAGTTGGAGGACATATCCGAGAGTTATTTCGTTGGGGGTGGGCGTCTAGGGTAGGCTGGACACTGACTTAAAACTGGGTATGCTGATAGCTATTATTCTTTCTAATATTCAAACTGGATATGATGTAGCTTAGCTAATAATATATAGGTATAATTGCCGGGCAATTCTCTTCTATACGTTTTAGAGTATTTTTATGGAATATTAAGAGTTTAACAGCAGAAATAACTGATTTATTGATTTATATGATCTAAGCTATTATTTGCAATTCTGTTAGAAAAACCTGTTTTTTTTTTTTTTTTTTTTTTTTTTTTTTTTTTTGCTTCAGCTGTTTAAAATACTTAATCCTTGTCGAAAGGGGTCTCCATGATACCAAACAAGATGTAAGTCCTTCTTAGATTGACTTCCTAAATACGCTGCGATTGGAGACTAAAGATTGCTTATGGCATTAGCCGGAACCGGAACCGGAACCATGAATGACATACCTAGGGAGTGGGGCATTAAATCTGTACGGCACGACCTTAGATCTCGAATGCACTCCATAGGTTGGTGGCAATACTTTACCTGCTCTCTTATCCCGCAAAGAGCGGCTGTTTTTGTTTCTCTGGTAAACATGGTCGATCGTGGACCAGTAACGCCCTGAGAGTGGTTTGCACTGCGGAAAAAAAAAGAACTACAGGGGGTAATTGGCGGGTTATCTCGCAGCTTTGTTTGAAACTACCGCATGAGAGCCCGCAGAGGAATTTCCTAGATGTTGCCATCTCATCCCGTCTAATCTCAACCAAGGACGGACTGCCATGGCAAACATGACCTTTGTCTAGAGGCATCATCAGTGGGCTTCAGACAAGGCTAAATTCCGCTAAGTCCACTAATCCCGCCCAAATTCTACTATTGCTGACTTGAGGTCGCGCCGGAGCAGCCGTAGCTATTTCTCTTCAAGCAATTTAATCTTTCTCATCAACTATAACTACTCCAATTGCCGCGATCAGATTTTGAAGGTCCGAAAACTCCTTCATCAAATTTCTATTTATCCCCAAAGAACCTCAGTTTCCTTAGTCAGGCGTCCGTATTACGAGCGACAATGATCCTCAAGGCAATCGTGTTTGGTGGAAACGGCACAATCGGCCGTTTAATCACGAGGTATATGCTGGAGCGCTCATGGCATGTTACATGTGTTGTCAGAGACCCTAGGCAGAGCGTCGAAATCTTGCAACTAGGAGACGGCCTTGAGAGCAGCCCCGATGTGGTTGTTTGTGACCTTCTGAGTCTTTCTGAAACAATAGCCGGGGAGATCTTCCAGCGAGTCAAACCGGACTGCGTTGTTTTCACCGCAAGTGTGTTTCTAACTCTCCAATTCTCATGCTGTCCTTCCAAATTGACCTTGAAATAGGCAGTTCGGCGAACTATGAAGCTATCGACTGCAACGCTGCCAAGATGCTCATCAAGGTGTCCGCGGGGCACACCAGCGTGAGAAAATTCTTGGTCATATCATTCCCTGCTAGTCGTCGGAAGCGGGCACCTTGGTGGAATGACAAGGAGTGGGCGGATCATCGGAAGGAAAAAAGGATGTTTCCTGTCGCCGCCAAAATGAAGGTGCAAACGGACGAATATTTGCTATCCGTGGCAAATGCGAAGCAGGCAAAGGGCCAGCATTTCCAAGGGATCTCTCTGAGGCCGACGTGGTTCGTCAGCAGACCTCCGACGGGCAAGATCACGTTGGGACACACCACCGCATTAGGTCAAATTGCTCCGGGCGATGTAGCCCTGACAGCTATCAGCCTTCTATCAAGGAATGACACTAATGGATGGTTTGATATCAACAAGGGATCCAAGGACATTGAGGAGGCCGTGGAAGAGGCCGTGTGCAAGAGTTTGGATGCCTCTCAAGGGGAAGAGCTTGATCGCATCTATGACTTAGCGCGAGACGACGTATGATGCGATGTCTGCAGTTCAGCTGCAGGTATCTCTGGAATAAGATTAGCAGTACAGTCTAGTGGAAATCGCAGCTTTCAGTCGCCTTCATACTGCTCATAGTGATGAATCACCGCGGATCAAAGATTACTTGTCTCATCCGTTCAAATACAAGGAGGTCTCCTTTTACGATAGACTGTTTCCCGGATATGTTTCGGTGGCATAATTTCTTCGACGTTATTACCTTACTTGCAACCCGCACAATACAATCCCAAGGGTCCCGTCACCCGTGGTTGGGGTGGGGTTCTTTATCACCTCAGAGTGTAAGCTCCTGATATAGTTTGGATCTGTTATACCGAGAGGCAAGCTAGCGGGCTAACCGGTTGGGATCAACCCTGCATTCTTGATTGGCGCCATTCGATTCGATTCAAGTCCGCATGCTCTCCGTCGCTAGAGAAGTATACTGTCTCTTCTTCAAATACAATTGCAGAATATTGGGGCTTTATGATCTCTCTTGATGCATCAGCAAGCATTCGGGATTGCATCTGCTATACGGTGGCTCAGTTGTCGCGACGAAATCGAAGCCTTGCAGTTTTAATTTCCTGGAAGATAAGTTAGTGGTAATTTAACTTAGGCTTTGCTCGGAGATGGGGTTGCTGATGCGCTAGCCTAAATAGGCATCATGAGGGGATCGACGGCAATAAGAATCGGAGAACAATGACGATGACAAGTTTCAATCCGTGTCAGCTGACATCCAAAGACCATCACGAGTATACACCATAATTTGAACCTGAATTGGTGTTTTGCCTGTGGCTTCAATGTGTGAATAAGTTCACCTAACGACTTTCAGGTTAATAGGTCTCGTTTTGAAGTCATTTGAACTCAGAATTAGAATCAATGGGGTCGTCGTTCAGAGAAGGAAGGTCTTCATGTTGGATAGCTTGTCTTTGGAAATGTACTTTCCCATCAGTGTTCACTTCATTCGGGGGGAGATAGAACCATCTCCTATGATTGCTCAACAAGAAATTAATTATATCGGAAAGCTGTTACGTAGATAAATTAGGGTGATGTAGTAAACAGGTTATTGAAGATGAGCCGTTTTTCACCTCGCTGGTCAAACAACCCGAGCAGGTTACAGCAGCATGCTCAGCCATCGATGATTAAAAAGTGGCCCTAACTAGCTAAGGTAGTAGCTACGGTCGCTTATGGCGCTAGCTGGAAGTGGTAAGCACCGAGTGACACTGCAGGCAGAATCTCTCGATGTGTACTGCGTACTGTCGAGACATCGAAACCATACATGGCAGGGCTCAGCATCACCGCTGGATCATGCTATCTCTGGGACTTCATGCCGAGGCGGCCAAATTGACCGTCGGACTGGGATGGGGGTCTTACCCCGCCTGCGTCCGATGATAACAATCCACTATAGATAAATACGTCCTGGACAGGCTCTTGTCATTCTGGTCAAGGGTTGAAATGCTTTCCTCGGCCGTCTACTTCCCCTCTGAAACTTGTGTTGATGGCTTCTTTGATAGCTATGAATTTTACCAATTTCCTCCCGACAACTACTGCCCTCATGCGGGGCGTGGTCTGGACAGGGACGCCTTTCAATGTCAGTGTCGTTGAACTGCCGGTTCCACTCCTTCAGTCCGCTACAGACGCAATTGTAAGGGTTTCAGTCGCAGGCATTTGTGGTACAGATCTGCATACCTATCGTGGCCATTATGGAAGTGCAACAGTCCCGTGGGCCATGGGTCATGAGGCCCTTGGCTTCATCACTGACCTTGGGGATGCTGTTAGCAATTTTCGGGTGGGAGATCGAGTAGTGATCTCGGACACTGTTCACAACGCGCAGGTGGTTACAGAGCCTACTACCTCGTTTCCTTTTGGCATGGGGCCTGACCGGGGGGATCTGGGTGGCTGTCAGAGTAAGCTTTGCTTTACAACCTCAATTTCTTCTGTTGACTAGTTCTTTCCCGTCCAGGCGAGTATGTGAGGGTCCCTTTTGCCGAGCAAAACTTGATTCCTGTCCCGTCGAACACTTCCATCCCGTCAGACAGTGATATCGACTACCTGTTTCTGTCTGATATCTTCGCTACTGGCTGGGGTGCCCTTGATTTCTCTGGTTTTGAACCAGGTGATACTGTCGCCGTCTTCGGGGCTGGCCCTGTGGGCCTCCTGTCGGCGTATTCAGTGGTGCTTCGTGGGGCATTCAAGGTATACGTCGTGGATTACGTGCCTGAACGGCTTGAGCTGGCTCGTTCCATAGGTGCTGTGCCCGTGAACTTTTTGACATCGGACCCTGTGGAGCAGATTCTTGCTCAAGAACCGAACGGCGTCATCCGCAGCGTGGACTGTGTTGGATTCGAAGCAGTCAATCAAACGCTTCAAATGGAATCGGACATCATCATTCGCCAGATGGTCAATGTGACCGCAAGAAACGGTGGAATAGGTGGTGTCGGCATCTACGCGGACGTGCATAACAGCACAGGGGTTCCACGAGGAAGCTCTGTCATGAGTGATATCAGCTTCCCTGTTGGCACATTCTTCTCGAAGAGCCTTCAGTACAAAGTCGGTGCTATCTACCCTCCAGACTACGCTACCACACTGTTGCCACTGATAAGTAGTGGTCTCGCTAAGCCGAGATTCGTTATCAGCTCCCTAGTCCGCATCGAGGACGCACCACAGGCCTATGCACGGTTCAATGCGCACCAGGAAACTAAGGTTGTCATTCGTTTCCAGTGGTCTTGAGTAGGGCTTTTGGCTCCGTCGCACTCGGATAGGGTACTGAGAAGGTTTGAAGAGTGTGAATTGCTCGATGCACTGTCCGAAATTTATGATATCAGCTCAAATACATGATCTCCGTGGTCTGGTAATTCCTACTTAAAGAGGGCAGGCATTCCCGGCTGTTATAGGAAAGCCTTGGCCGATCTGGGACAGGTTCCATACATGACCCAAGCCGTAGAGACAATATGTCAAACATAAGTTGTTGGGATGGAGAAGATTTTGGAAATTGTTTGACTTAACTGACCGTAGCCTGCTCCAGCCTTCACCTTGCAACTTTGAGCGTTTACGTTCGAGTCCCGCCATTTTAGTTGTACGCCTAGGTAGACTTAAGGCTCTGTGTAGAAGGGGGCGCTGGCTTGATAGAGAGACTGTACTAGTCGAGGTCTAGTTACTGTTTAGTAGACGGCAGACATCAGCATTAAATCACGGGGACCGTTTGAACAAGCTCTGAGATTATAAATATTTTTTAATCTTCTGAATAGCAGCTAATCATTTTAAGTTTTTATAATACAGGCGAAGACTTGATTATAATAATAAAACTCTTTTTGAACATATTTTTTTTTAATATATTAAATATTTTGTTTTAGAATATTTCATATTATCATAAATAAAAAGATTACTAGTATCAAGCTATTCTTTTTCTGATCTTTGAAAACTGCATATATTATACATTCTACATGTGGTTATTTTCTATAGAACTCGTATATGGGGCAGCTGCAGCTGGCAGTCCACCAGTTGCCGACCCGCCGGCGGTTGGGTTTCGTCTCGTCATCCCATCATTCCACCTTCTCCGGCTCCGTTTCTCTCCATCTTCATCTCCCCGACTTCTCCAATCCTCCTACCTTGCTTTCTCATCAATAGCATTTGCGCTTCTACCTGTCTTCTACTGACCAATTTACCACCTCTCGCCTGAAACAGTCGCCCCCCGATGAATTCCCCACCCCTGACCCTCGAATGATCGTCTCTCCGCATCCTGCATCGACCTCCGCATTTCCTCGTTATTCTGCTCTTCTCCGCCTTCACCCTGCTGCATGGCGAGGAAACTCAGCCACCAGAGGGTCACGTATGGTATGTCTCCTCTTATTGATTTGTTCCTCAATGACCGCTGTCTTCCCCATATCACCATTGATTCTGATTATCTGAATCCCCCGCTTATCCGACACTCCTGGCATGCTGGGGAATGCAGATCCCAACTAACCACCATCCCCGCTCTATAGTGCTCCCTCTGCCTGACGCACCCGGTGGCCATCGCCTAGGTGTCAATGGCCTGGCAGTCGACCCCGACCAATCCATCCTGTAAGCACCACTACCTGCGTCTCTCGGATCGCTCGGTTGCCTAGTACCGCTTGCGCCCGGCGCAACCCTCTGTCCCCGCCACAACACTAATACCACCGGTCGCACCAGTTACTCCGCAGGTCGCGACGGCGTCGTCTGCTCGTGGGATCTTAACTTCTCGCTCACCGACCCCTCTAACCCCGGCAAAACCACCTTTCGCAACCAGGTCCAGGCGCACAGCCATTGGATCAACGACATCGTGCTGACCAAGGATAACTCCGCGCTAGTCTCGGCCTCGTCAGACACCACCGTCCGACTCTGGCGCCCTCACTCCGAATCCACCGAGGTGCCGGCTCCCATCGGCAAACACGCAGACTATGTCAAGGCCCTGGCCACCCCCGGAAACCATTCGTCGTGGGTCGCGTCGGGCGGCCTGGACCACAAGCTCTACCTGTGGGATCTGAACGGTGGCGGCGAGGTGCTGGGGATCGATGCGTCCGGGGATGATCGCACGGCCAAGGGCTCCGTTTATGCTTTGGGCGCTGTCTCCTCCGTCCTGGCGAGCGGCGGTCCGGAAAACGTGGTTCGCGTGTGGGATCCGAAATCCGGAAAGCTTATCACCAAGTTTGTCGGTCATACAGATAACATCCGCGATATCTTGATCAATCGCGATGGTGACACCATCATGACCGCCTCGTCCGACCAGACCATCAAGATCTGGTCCCTTACCGCGGGAAGATGCATGCATACCTTGACCATGCATAATGACAGCGTCTGGTCGCTGTATTCCAACCACCCGCAACTGTCGGTGTTCTATTCCAGCGACCGGTCCGGTCTCGTCGCCAAAACAGACACCCGGAATTCTCCGGACATTGAGCAGGGCACGTGCGTGGCGGCTCTGCAAGAGCACGAGGGCGTCGTCAACGTTGTAGCCGCGGGCGATTACATTTGGACGGCAACCCCTAAGTCGAGTATTCATCGCTGGCGGGATGTGGACACCACGGCTGAGATTGAGCCCCCTGCACGAGACCGCAATGTGCAGACGCAGGCGCCTACGTCTGCGCCATCAGACGGCCGGCCCAAGAAGATCCCATATGAATCGGTCCTGTTGCTGTCGCCTACCTCCACTTTCCCTAATGCGCGCCCCCTAGACGATGAGACGCCGCGCTCGGGGCCGGCTTCTCCCCGGCTCTTGTCTGGTCCTGACCTCGACGATGAGTTGGGGTTGACGCTGCCTATACAGGCATTGCCCGAGGAAACCATCGAAGGTCAACATGGATTGATCAAATACTCCATGTTGAACGACCGGAAACGGACATTGACTCAGGACTCCGCTGGTGAAGTTGTTCTGTGGGATTTGCTCAAGGTATTATCGCCAGTTCTTCAATTGCGGTGACCGCTCTAACCCACCACTAGTGTAAACCAATCCAATCTTTCGGTAAGAGACATATGGACGATGTCGCGTCCGAGATCAACACAACCGAGAGCATCGCTCACTGGTGTACCATCGACATTCGAACCGGGCGTCTTTCCGTGATTCTAGAGCCTGGCCGGTGTTTCGATGCTGAAGTGTATGCCGACGAGTCGGATCTGGCGGACCAGTCGCAATTTCGGGAGGACCAAAGGAGTAAGTTGTTTTCCTTTCGCAGGGGTTCCAGGTACTGACAATAATAGTTAATCTCGGAAAATGGATTCTGCGTTGGCTATTCGCACCTCTGGTGCAAGAGCACGTTCAACGGGACGCCCAGTTCCGTGCTGCGATGGTAGCCAAGGCGGAAGAATTGGCTCGCTTGACCAGCACTGGCGCGTCAGCCCCGGTCGACATTCCATCGGCAGATCCCTCGAGGCGGGCGCTGGGCTTGCAGTCGCCTCTAGACCCCTTCACAGCCACTTTTAGGTCTGGTTACGATTCGATCGGTAGCCCTACGACACCCGGCGGGTTCGGCATCGGGTATGCCGGCAGCCCGGCGACTATGGGATCACCCATGTGGACTTCCAGTTACATCAACAATGCGAGTCACCTGGGCACCTCTCCTGGAGATTCGACGTCGGAATATCTCATGTCGCAGTCGCAGCAAAATGCGGACATGACCCGGGCCTCTTTCTCGGACCGCTCCAGCGACTACTTTTCATCGTCACGAAACCAGGGTATGGGCTCGCTCGACACCGATAAGGTGCCGACTACCCCAGGCGAGCCGACCCCGACGGCTCTCCCGCAGTCTCCGGTCGAGCCCGACAAGGAGGAGCGGAAGCGCGGTGCGTCGTTGTTTGGGAAGAAGTTCCGCATGGATTTCCCCAAGAAGCTGGGGCGGACCTCATCGGAGGTCAAGCCGCAGGTCCCAGAGGAGAAGGTGGAGGAGTCGGATAAGTCGTCGATCAAGGAAGAGAAGGTGTTTGAGACTAACCTGGGAGGGTTCATTGAGCGAACGCGGCACGAGTATGAGGAGTTCATGTCTGCCAACCCTGGCCGGGAGTTGACGTCGGCGTTCACTCCGAGCCCAGATAATGAGACTCCGGTCCTGGACATTCCCCCGCGCACAGTGGTATTTATTCAAGAAGAATCGGGTGATACGGCTGTGGCGTCTGATCTGTACCGAGGGACGGTTGGCCGGATCAGCGAGGAGATCGACAAGCTGGAGAAGTCGATACCCTTGTGGCTTGCTGAGCTGCTCCTGAAGGTAAGCACTTAGCTAGTATTTGCCGGTCAGCGACTCACAACCTGCAGAACCAAGTGCCAGTGAAAGAACCGGTGAAAATTGCTTTCACACTGAAGCCATACGATGATCTATTGCCCCCTGTAGCCAAACCAGAGTACGTATCCTTTTTTTTGGTCTTGTTCGAGCGAAGCTAATGAGAAAGGCCGCCCGGGAGCCCCAATGCCAACAACAATCGCCTCAACGCGAATCGCATGCTGCGCGCCAAGAAGATCCTGGCCTACGTGGCGGAGCGGATCGATCCTCCCAACCCCCACGAGCCGGAAGCAAACCCCATGAAAGCCGAGGAGTATCTGGAGCTGTATTGCCAGAGGATGGTACGTTTCCCCCCCCCGGCCGGGTGTCACCGCATCGACATGGCTAACGGGCCCAGCCCATCCCCCCGAACATGACTCTGGCGACGATCCGGGCGCACATCTGGCGATCCTCGGGCGACATGGTCCTGTACTACAAGGCCAACGGGAAGAAGGAGATCCGCATGCCGGCGCCCGAGGAGGAGAAGGAGACTGGGACTGGATTTGGGACGGCGTTGGCGCTGAATGGCGAGGCGGGCAGTGCGCCCCCGGCCAGCATTCGGTCGCACGCGGCTTCGGGCTCGGCGGTCTCGGTCAGCAATGCTTAGGGGGTGGAGGATTTCCTGTTAATAATTGGTTGGGCTCGTCTGATGATGGGCCGGTACATACACCTGTGGATTTGCGATACCAAGATATTGTGCGATCTGCGCAGCGAATTGATTTTGATATTGTGGATGGTGGATTATAAACATAAAGTACTCATAATAACTTGTAATTGTGACACTGCATAGTAGGTTAACTACAGAATGCAGCGATAAACGATGCCAAGAGCGGCAATCTTATCATATCAACTCATAAACTATCAATTTCGCTCTTCCGCTCTTCCGTCATCCTCCCCATCAACATTTTGAGTGTTTGGTCCCTTGGCCAGCCATGGCCATTTCCGAAATACTGCACCACAAGAAACCCACTGCAATAACCGTCTCACAGTTCGTAAACTCTTTCCAGCGAATATGGCACGACTCAAGGACGCGCGGGGGCCAGCGAGCGCGGAACACCCGTTTCCCATCCCGACTAGGTGCGTCCTTCCCCAGCCTCCACTTCGCCGAAGAGAAACTAACAAAACACAGGCCTAGCCATCAGCGGCGGCGCCGACAGCATGGCGCTGGCCTACCTGTGCCGCGAATGGGAAAAATCCACTCCTGAGGTGACCGTGACAGCCTTCATCGTGGACCACCGCGCGCGCGAGGAGAGCTCACGCGAGGCCGCCACCGTCGCCTCCTGGCTCGCAGACATGAACATCACCACGCACATCCTGCCGCTCGACTGGTCCAGCCTGACCACGAGTCCGCAGACCCTGCCCGCCTTCGAAACCCACGCCCGCCGCCTCCGCTTCCAAGCCCTGGGCCGCGCCTGCCGCGCCGCGGCCATCGACGCCCTCCTGACGGGCCACCACCGCGACGACGCCGTCGAGACCACGCTGTGGCGGCTGTGCACGGGCGCACGCGGCGCCGGGCTCGCCGGGATTCCGGAATGCACGGGGATTCCCGAGTGCCATGGCATGTTTGGGGTGGTGGGGAGTCGGGGAGTGGAGTTGTTGAGATCCGCATACCCTGGCCCTTATCCTCCCCATTCACATTCCCGGGTGGGTTCTGGCCAGCAGCAGCAGCAGCAGCAGCAGCAGCAGACAGCGCCAATGGCCACCGGAACCCTCCCCATCATCCGCCCGCTCCTCGCCTTCCCCAAATCCGACCTCCTGGCTACCTGCGCCACTCACAGAATTCCGTTCGTCTCCGACCCGACGAATTTCGATCCCACGCTGACGCCCCGCAATGCCATACGGAGTCTGTTGGCACAACAAAAGTTGCCGCGGGCGCTGCGCGAGGGATCCGTGTTGGGATTGATGGGGGCGAGTCGTCGACTTATCAGGACGGCTGAGGAGGAGTCGGAGCGGTTGTTGCGGTTGTGTGGGGTTGGGGGGTTCGTGCCGGAGACGGGGGTCGTGGGGGTTGGGTTCCCTTCGCTTGCATCTTGCGGTGATTCTGTTGGTGGGGGTGAGGGTCAGGGTAATGCTGCTGTTGAGCGAAGTGTACACACCCAAATACAAGCCCTCGCCCTCCGCCGCATCACGGAGCTCGTCTCCCCGTTCCCGGATAATCACTTCCCGCTGCGCGCGTTCGAGCCGTTTGTGGCGAGGGTGTTTCGGGGCAAGCAGGAGCAGGAGCAGGAGGAGCAGCCGTTCACGCTGGGCGGCGTCCTGTTCCAGCCCCTGTCGTTTTCCCAGGCCCAGCAGAAGAAGGGCGAGGAGAGTTTATTTCTGAGAGCTGCTGCAACTCACGCCCAAGGGTCTGATGCCCCCAAGAACAGCAACGGCAGCAACCAAAACACATGGCTCCTCTCCCGCCAACCGTACATGAAGAACCGGCTCCCGGCTCTGGATTTCCACCTCTGCACGGAGGGATCTGTCACCACTCCTGAACGGCAGGAGCAGGAGCAGGAGCAAGAGCAAGAGCAATGGCACCTCTGGGATAACAGATACTGGTTCCGCGTGGGCTGGTCCAGCAGCAGCAGCAGCAGCTCCGCACCACCAAAATCAATCCCCAACCCCAACCCCGGAATCAGTTCTCAGAACCCAGAACCCCCGAAAATCCACCTCCGCCTCCGCCCCCTCCAGAAATCAGACCTCAGCATCCTCCGCCAGTTAATCCCAACACAAACCGCCCACGACCACGATCCCAGCAAGCACATCAACAAGACCGACGGGGAGCATACCCTTTCACAGACGGAAACGAAACCGAAGACAGGAGCGGACCGTGATACCAACACCGATGGTGATAGCGATGATATACAAAACCCAAACCAACAGGGAAGAATAGCAGACCCCAAAGCCCTCACCCGCCTCCTCGCGCAGGTCAGCCCCGGACGCACGCGATTCACTATCCCCGTGCTGGTGCAGGTGCTTGTTCGACGGCAGCAGCAGCAGCAGCAGCAGCAGCAGCAGCAGCAGCAGCAGCAGCAGCAGCAGCAGCAAACCGTCACTGTCGAGGATGGGGAAGAGGAAGGAGACACCTCGACTGTCGCGGCCCCGGTCTCGGGTACAACAACAACAACACACACACATACAAGCACAAGCACAAGCAAAAGCACAAGCACAACCCCACCTCTACCTCCCACTACCGCAACAAATACAACTCCAACTTCACATCCGTATCCGACTTCCCCACCATCCCCATCCCAATCCCAATCCCCAAACCAAATTCCCAACTCGCAACAGGGGTGGAACATACCCAAGACACAGGCACCACCACCACCACCACCACCACCAGCGGCAGACGAGGAAGAAATCCCCCTCGTCCTCCCGACGCTGGATCTGTGGCTTCCTTCCTCGCCGGCACTCAAACATCAAGGAAGATGGCCGGAGGGGAAGAGCCTACGCTGGGAATGGCGGTATAAGATGGTGGATCGGGCGGGGACGCTTCGATTAATGGGGTGGGAAACGGAGGAGTAGTCGCTTCACCTAGTCACTTCACTTCACCTATCACTGTATGTACACACTGTATAACCTCTGTATAACCTCTGTATATCATTTACAAACTCCACATAATCCAAGCTAGTGCCTTAGGAACTTCTACGAAACGTCCCGGCAATATTAAGATATCATGCTCAGTCGATGATACGCATCGCAGAACCTACCAGCAGCAAACAACCTGCATCTACAATAACAACCCCCCATAAAAAAAGACCTCTGGATTCTGATTAACACACCAGAAGTATCAAGAAAGTTCGACACCCATAAGGCTATACACTCCGTGACCATGCGATGGTTGAAAAGCCCCAAGAACCCAGCCCCCAGAAAATCAAACCCCGCCATTGCCCCCAGACTCAAAAAAAATCAAAGACACGGATGCTATGCCCCATCCAACAAAACAATGCCCTATAGACACATAGACACACACAAGAAAAGTTGTTCAAGGAAAGACCCAGGTCGATGCACCAGTTCGATAAACAAGAAAATCAGGCGATTGGCCTGATGGTGACACAAGACAGAAAATATCTACTCACTCGCCTTCAGCAAGGCAACGGCCGCCTGCTGCGCACGCAACCCTCCCACCTCACGCTTCAGTCGGAAATTCTCCTTCTTCAAGCGGCCAATCTCCTCCAGCGCCGACGACAGCTGCGACTTCAGCGACTCTTCCCCGTTCCCCGTCCGCATGTCTTTGGCGATCTTCTCCAGCTCCGTATTGAACCGATCATACAGAGCCTCGTTCTCGGCGCTGGCCTCCCGGTAGAGCTCGTCCAGCTTCTTGGCCCGTCGCTCACTCACCACCAACGATGACTCCAAGTCTCTTTCGATCGAGGCAGTCCGGCCATTCATCTCCTCCGAGAACGTCTCGAATCTCGTCTCGAGGCTACGGACCCGGGAGGCCAGCGCGGCGTTGGCGGTCGAAGGGGCAAACGGCTCGTCAAGGGAGTGCAGCTTGCCATCGCCCTTGTACGGCGTCGGGTTCAGTCTCAATGCATTGAGTTCCGCGCCGATAAGCTCGAGCTCATCCTTCAGTCCCAAGGAAGCGATATTTTGGGCCTTCTTCTCGCTGTTGAGGCGATCCCGGAGCTGCAGCTGTTAGAAGAGTACCACACACAACATAAGAAAAAGCTCACCTTCTGTGGACTCTGCAGACGTAGTTTCGGCGTCTTCTGTGAGCCTAGGGTCGGTTGTAAGCGTCTCGCGTCGGAGCCATTGATCTGCATCGGTCGCTCCTTCAAGCCAGGCACTCTAGAGGAAGGGATGCTGGTTGCCCGCGATCGTCTCTTGATATCCGGGGGAGGAGAGCCCGTTGCGTCGGCCTTCTTTCTCGGGGCCCGGTCGGTTTGCGGTAATTTGGGGTCAATATTCTCCTTGCGACTGGGTGTGACGGGGCGGGTCGGGGATCGGCGGGTTGGAGACGCCAGCCGCGTGGGCGAGGCACTCTTTGCAGGGGACGTGCTGCGGACCGAGCCCGAGCCGTGACTTGTTTGCGGCCGTGTCTGGCCCGCTGGCGTCATCGCCTCCGCTCGCGGCTGGGTGGGAAGCGACGATGACGGAGTCATGGGTCTCTGTCCTTGGCTGGTAGATAAGATCGACACGTCAGATGACGCCGTGCCTGGTCTGATGTCGGACAGAGAACTCCGCCGTCTCCTCCTGATCCTTACCACCCCATTAGTTGAAATACCTCGAATTGAGGATAACGAGGAAGCCTCATCCTGAGAGCTTCCAGGACGACGAAGATGCTCCTGTGATGTGGACGCACCCGGGCGATCGCGGGAGCCTGGCCGCAGTAACGAAACCAGCCCCGTGTCGACATCGATGGACTTGGACCGGAGCAGCAGTGACCCGCGCGGCGTCCCGGGCTCAGAATCGCCCGATCCTTTACTTTTGCTCAGCGTTCGCAAAATGGACGACACTTTACTCTCTGTTTCCGACTTGGAGTTATCGCGGTGCAGGCTGAATCCGAAACGCTTCCGAAACGACGACGCATTGGAGTTCATCGAGCCTGCCGTCTGGGACGCCGATTTGGTTTGGTCGCAATTGAGCGTGCCTTCCAAGTCGGCGCCTCCGGGGATATATTCGTCAAACAGATTATCAAAGTCATCGACAAGACGATCCAACAGGGAGATGTACTGCATCGGATCTCCTTCGACCGTCAGGACCTCTGCAAAGGCTGCCGTTAACGCACCACGGTCGCCGTCATTCCCCGAGGCATCAAGAAGCTCTGCAAGCAACCGAATCATAGAAGCGAGCGCACGGCGATTCTGGGGGCTCATGTCGGCAAGAAATCTGCGGAAGCTCTCCTCGAAATCTCGCGGGAACATGCTGTCAAATTGGCTCTGCAACGAGTTCAATGAAGACGAATCAATTACGGGCCCCATGTGTTCGCGCCATGCATTGGCCATGAACGTCTCAAAAGCCACGAACAATGTATCGACCGACACCTCGGCCGCAGCTTGGATCTTGCCGGGGTCTTCCAGGAGGATATTGTACAGCTCATTGACGGACGAGCGGTCCACGTTGTCTCGGCCTCGTAGAGAGCGTCCAACAATGTTTCCACTCCGCGATTGCAGGGCGAGAGCGAACGCGGCAAAGGTCTGCTCCAGGGCGCTGAACGGGCTTTCCTGCCCCCTCGAAGGCGGCGCGCCAACCACCGAAATCTTGACCGGACTCTCTTCCTTCCCTGGAAACGCCGAAGGCAGCGTATTGGAACGCGGAATATTCCCTCGAGGCGGCGGCATGCGAGGGAATTCCCCCAGCAGCGCTGCTGAGCTGGGCATTTTTATGCTGCCCGCGCTGTGTTCCTTGGGTTGGTGGCTTCCCAGCAGACTCGACAGTAGCTTCGAGGCTGATGGCGGTCGGAATCCCCGCGGGACCTTGAAATTGGCCATGAGATGACCGGCGAGATACCGCAGAATTTCGAAGTTGGAATGCACTATCGATTCAGTCATCGTGCGGTTCTGCGGGCCATGCAGCGGGAGTAGCACATTAGACACTAACTGCGGTCAGCAAACAATCTCACATGCAGGTATTGATTATACTTACGGCGCTTAGACAGTACTGCAACGAAGCTGTCCGCGGTCACAAGATCGGAGGATGCATGGCCCACGACGGAGTCAATGTCCACGCGAAACTGGTCCTCGCTCGACACGGAGACCGACACAATAACCTCAAGATCGGAATTTGATAATGTTTGGCTGCAGACTGCGCGGGGAGTATTGAAAACCATCCGGATTTTCGATGCACTGGGTCTTTTGGCGGCCGTCTCCTCCTCCTCGAACACACATGCCAAAACACCAAGATTGGCCACCGTCCCGGATGGACTGCGCAATGTCCACTTTCCATTCTCCCGCTCACTTTCTGAGAATCGACCTTCGATCTTGGCCTTCACAATCTCCTCGATGATGCGACTGGCGCGTCCTTCATACATGGACACGGGCTCCAGCGCAAGCAAGTCGACGGTGGTGTTTTGATTGGGTCGCGACTTCACCGACATGGGCGCCAGGAACAGAATACGTCCACAGTTAGACTGCATGCATCGAACATTGTGCAGATCATACACTTGAACCACCCGCAGCTCGGGTACCAATGGAATATTGGTGGCTGCCGGAGTGGCTGATGCGGCGTTGTCCAGGTCCGCCAGGAGACCACGCGCGGTTGTTCGACCTCCCATCGCTTTAGACAACAACACCAGGCAGTTCTTATAAATCAGCATGATCCCCGGGCTGGGCTCCTCTGCAAGATCGAGATGGTACGGAGGCGACAGCTCGTTGAAATCCACCGCTGTGATGAGACGGCCGGCTGGCAGTATGGTGGATGGCCAGCCGTCGACCAGCTCCTTCAGCCGCCGGAAACTCTGATCATGGTTGGCGGTCGAGGCATCGTCGAGGGAGCAGATGTCTTTGATGACATCACGCGCCTTCAGCAGTGGGCGCACGGCCGGGTGTACCAACGGCAGACTACTGGTCATGGTGTCGATGAGGAGACTATATCGGGGTAGACGCTGGACAGGCTCCATGAGGAGTGAGCGGAGTTTCTGTTCCCCGGTCTCGTATACGCGCTTGGAGAAACTGGAATTCTTATCTTTCATGAACGAGTTCAACGTCTGAGTGAAGCCGGTATGGGCCCGCATGTAGTCCGCATACGGCTCGGAGAATTGTGGGAACCAGTCCAGGAGTGCGTCCGCAAATGCCACAGCACCGATAGTGTCTTTGTCCTCCTTGGACGATGTCCGCTGCGACATGGACGATGAAAGCTCCGTATCTTCAGTCATATCTGCAATGGCGTCCTTCTCTGTCTCTTCCAAGACTTGACGAATCACACTCAAAAAACCCATGTTCACCTGAAGGATTTCATTCAAGCACGGGGGGAACAGAGTCGCCAGATCAGCCTCGTCCGGACTCGTACTCGATGACAGGCGCAATTGTGCTTTCATTCGGTATTCCTCCGCCACCTGGCAGACGAGGGTGTAAAGCTTGTTGACGTAGCGCTCCTCTGTATCCACCAGCTCGCACATGGTCAATCGCAGAGCCTGTTTTTGACTGGCGGAGAATATCTTCGATTTGCTCACGTTGGTTGGCTGGGAAGGTGCGCGTCTGAGTCGGGAGGTGGGAAGGAACATGGGGGCGCCCAGGGTCTGAATAAGGGCGGTATATGGGCCGTATCGGAGGTCGGGGCCGTCATAGAATTCTGCATTACCATCATAAACATTATCATCATTATCGGGCTCGGGAGCTTTGATCGTCCCGGCGGGCAAAACGACATCGATATCGACCCAGGGCACCTTGCGCTCCTGAAAGGCGCCTCGGATGTCGCGCACCAACTCGGAGGCATGTTCAACTTTTGTCATTCGATTCGCCAAATCGGCCGCATGCATCTCGTCGAAGAGTTTGGGAACCTTGACACCTGGTTTCCCTGCGCGAGCCATGGCCTGGAGGCATTCTTTGGCTGGGTCGGACAGCTCTGCGAAGTACTTCAGCATG